TGTACTTTGTGGCTTTTTGTTTTTTGGGATGTAGAAGTACCCGTTCACGTTCACTTTGTGTCCCAAGTCATGAGCCTGTAGTTCAGTGGTTGTCGTTGGTTCATGTCTGTCATATTTTTTTTTCGTATACTGTTTTGTTAGTTTTCTCAATTGAATTGTTTCATATTTTTCATATCCGAGTCTTTTATAGCCGACTACACGGTATGGCTTTTTCTTCAATTGCTTACATCCACTTCATTTGAAACATTGGTGGATTGTTATCTCATTGGCAATCATATATATCACATCTCCTTATTTTTAAATTAGAGGTAATATATTTAGGAAGCTGTGGAAGTTGACAAAACAAATTTGAAATAATTCCGCCTGCCAACCGACATGACCGACAGGGCTTATAGAATAGAATGTTGGAGTAATATGCTAGATTTGTCTTATATTGAAAACCACTTTGAATACATAAAATATGACAACAGTGGTCATCTCAGTACTAAAATGTATGACAAACGAGACGATTTAAATTTTGAAATTATAAATTTTCCCTACCTTAGCGACAATATAACAACTTCACTCGCGAATGGAGTATACATTTCTCAGTTCATACAATATTCAAGAGGTTGCAGCTGCTACTCAGACTTTGAAAAGAACATCAGTATCACAGCAAAAAAATCAATGAACCCGAGTTGTGTCAAAGAACATCTCGTTGCTTTTATCAAAATGTTCATCGACAAGCACCAACACTTAAATTTACATATTTTGTGTCTACTCCACAACTACAAGTACTACAAAATAGTATTGAGTTATATGTTTTAAGTTGTGTATCTTTTTGTATTTCTGCTATGAAGTATCTTTCGGTCGTACGACTTTTGACGTGACTCGGTATTTATACATCCCGCTATCGGGATTTTGAATTTGAGCGTTCCTGGTGCATGTGGTTCCTGTTGTGCGAATTGGACGCAATCTGTGTTTGCGATAGTGTTAAATTATTTTTGCCTTTGTATTTATATTTGTACTTGAACGAGAAGCGTATACTTAAGCAGTATGAAATGTCAACTGCCAAAACTTTTTTAATAGGTGTCTTTGACAATTAAATATCAACTACAACAATTGTTTTTGCGTCTTTCTTAGATTTATTTAGTCAGTTGTGTTGTATGTCGGTAGTGTATGTTTACACAATTTGGCTGTTGTGTCCTAATAATTGACACTTTAACTATAATGTCTGTCTGGGTTGCTCGTCCAATTTTGTCAATATAATGGGAAGTAAAACCAGGTATAAGTCACAATTTTCTCTGGAAAATGCTGTAACAAGTAGAATATGATAGTTGTTTTTCACTCGTTCCAGTGATAACGTTGATGACGTTTGATTTTTGTCAGCTTTGTAAAAAGACTTTCCCATTTTTCGGTATGTTTCTTGTACTTTTTTTTTATTAAACACAAACCTACCTCACCACGCATCATGCTTTAGAGGACTAAAACAATAACTTTTTAAGGAAGTTCGCTTGTCATGTTTTGGAATTTTTGTCAGATTTTCGGATTCCTCTGGTTTTATCTATTTGAATGCCTTAAAAATGTTTGCCCATTGACCCCCATTTTTTTTAAAAATCTTTTACATGCATAATTATAAGCCATCTGTAAAAGTCTTATAAAATCTTAATTATTTTTCAATAGTCTTTTGAGAACTTTAACTTGTCAATGGTAAAGCTATAAAAAATCAAGAGAGAATATTTTCCCGTCAAAATTTCAATTGCTAATATCTCGAAATCAAGCACATTGACCTGTATTTTATTTTTGCTCTTTTTGTTCCTTTATTAATCCCCTATCAATATATACTAGTGTTTTGAAAAGCTTGTTATTTTGAAACTGAGTAGCAAACTTCCTTAAAGAAAAGACAAGTCAATATCTCCATAAAATCATGTCGTTCAAATGCACCCAGTTGATCTAAATTAACAAACATAAAATCATATTTTGAATGTGTCAAATTTACATGTCGATGATATTGGAGCAATTGGTATATTCACAACCGAATGTTCATTCAAAATAATAAGTAGGAATCTGCTGAAAACGCCTTGGCAGAAAAAAAAACGACCAAAAGACAAACAACAGTCTACCCACGTTTAAATTATATTTGATTAGTGTTTTAGCTATTCTGCTCCATATGAAATAAGGAAATATAGTGTGATAAGGAAAAATGCAACATCACTTTTTCTTATAGATCTTTTACATATTTTACTATAGTTTTAATAGAAATGTGTGTGTGTGTGAGTTTTAATTTATTTTATAAATCAAAAGAATTTCACTGTCGTCATGTCACCCAAATTTATACGTTAATTTTGAAAGAGATTATATAAAATACCAGAGTTAGACAAATAATTAAAATAGCTATTATTTGCCATTTTTCTAGAAAAGATTTACAAAATCTATAAATTAGAGTTTATTATATTATCTATAAGCGATAGCAAATAATTGTGAACTTTCCATTTCTATGTAGCAACATTCCAGCAGCGCCTGTATACGGAGTATATATCTCCCAACTGATACGATATTCCCGAGCTTGTATTTCCTATCATGATTTTCTTGATAGAGGATTGCTGCTCACAAGGAAGCTATTAAACCAAGAGTTCCTAATGGTGAAGTTGAAATCATCCCTTCGTAAATTTTACGGACGCCATCACGAGTTGGTTGACCGTTATGGAATAACCGTTTCACAGATGATATCGGATATGTTCCTTATGTCGTAACTACAATACCCTTCCCTTTTCACGAATGTGACCTACCGAATTAGACTATTTACCGGATTTGTAATAACATAAGCAGCACGACGGGTGCCACATGTGGAGCAGGATCTGCTTACCCTTCCGGAGCACCTGAGATCACCCCCAGTTTTTGGTGGGGTTCGTGTTGCTTAGTCTTTAGTTTTCTATGTTGTGTCATCTGTACTATTATTTGTCTGTTTGTCTTTTTATTTTTGGCCATGGCGTTGTCAGTTTGACTGTCCCTCTGGTATCTTTCGTCCCTCTTTTATGTAACCTTTGAAATATTTTGGATTAGCATGTCCGGATTAAGACCACGCTATCGTAGATTTGAGCTCTTAGGTAACATGGGGCCAGTGACAGGGTTTATGATATATTTTCCTTTGTGTACATAATTATTTTACCCCTCTTGGCCTCGCCTGGGAATGAAACAAAATGTGTATTTTATGAATTTGTGGTCACTTGAATATTGACCAGCAAATAATAAAGATCTATTATTTTACAAAGAATTGGTTTTTCATTCCAGGTGAGTGTAACTTTAAGTTATATAAGTTGATATTTTTAAATGAATATTTTCATGTTTTATGCATTTAAATTTTAAAGTGAATAATTTGGTTACCATAGCAACACTTTCAAAATTCAAAAAGAGGCCCTTGTCTCATTCATGATGACATTATTTGGCATCAGCACATTAATTTAACTGAGCTAGTTAGCTCTCCCATTTTATCTTTATTGTTTTATAATGCGAATATATATGTTCCATCTTTATATTATTATGCATTCAATTTGAATGATTAATGTTTATTTCAATTATATATGTATGAACTTATTATGTATTTTTTTATCATGTATACACTTGAACATTGACCAGCAAATAATAAAGATCTATTATTTTACAAAGAATTAGTTTTTCATTCCAGCTACATAAGCCATATATCGACAAGCAAACCAAAAAGAAATATTCCACGTTCACATTAGTATGGTTGCATCTGCATCCGTTTTTTTTTTACCTTGATTAGTGCCTTCTAAAAGGGTTAATGAGAATTGAACATCAGTGAACTATTTTACCTCTAATTTTACGATTGTTAAGTTTTTATCGGCTTTCATTTGGGAAACTCTCATTTGATTTTTTTTGGGGAGGAGGAAGAGTGGCAAGACGATTTAGGAAAAGAATATTCAATCCTGGAATGATCTGGAAAAAAAATGATATTCCACCTGATAAACTCATAAAGAATTCCTTCTGTTCTCTACTCTCGTCACACTCGGAAAATCAAATGGTCGTCCCATTGGACAACCAATCAGCTTGCATGACTGATAAAGCAAGTAAATTAAATAGAAAATTAACTGAAATATTATATCAAACTGTACTATATCTATTCTATTCAAATTTAAAATAAAGTTGCATTTAGAGATGTTATGATTTTGGTATGGAAGTAAAAGTAATCATATTGTTAAAATCTTAAATAATAGTATTTAAAAACGATTTGTGCATTGGAGTGTTTCTGGAATACTCATTTTTCTCCCACCCTCTTCTTTAAGTTCTAAATGCTTTTTTTTTTGAAAATTCGAATACTTTCGATTCAATAAGTTTTGGACCCTTAATTTATATACAAATGGTTTGTAAGCTTATTTGTCAAAATGTAGAATGATATATTATTACCGATCTATCAGAGATTCGTTTTGACCGACTGACTGATTCATTTATGTTTGTTTCATGTCCAGTGGCCAATGTATCATACAAATGAACTTGTAGGTAAAGCAAATGTCCGGTATAAATAAAAAAAAAAAAACAAAAAAAAAAACTCAAAGATACCAGGCTAATTATTGTGTTCGCCCAGCGTATAGGTCAATGAAATAGAAACCCAACGATACAGACTTTTAAAGAATATAAAATACAGGTCCATACAACATGTAAAGCTTAAATTCGTCCAAACATAAAAGATACGAATGAAAAACACAGACTATGAAAGAGCTGTGATCAGCCAGAACTTATCCTAATCACAGAACAACGTGTAGATATGACCATAAACATCCGCTAATGGAGTTCCTTACTTTGAACCAGCACATTGACAAGTATCGGGGTTTAACTACTTTGTTAGGCATCAACTATGCCCTTTTAATTCCAGTCGCAAATCGACTTGCGTGTGATACATGAAAGAACATATTAGAAATACATTGATGGTACTTCCGGGATGAAGAAGTGAGAATTTTATTACCTTATATATATATTCTTATTATTCTTTCCGGTGACCGTGTTAAAGTTTCAGAATAGATCAATTTTGAAAGGAAACATACATTATGTATGTATTAAATTGAAAAAGTTCATGCATAACCGATAATAGTTTACGAAATGTATAAACAAAATTACTTCATTTACCTTTATTCATAAAATCTAAATGCTGACGAAATAAATGACAAATTTGTGAAGGTTAAAAAGTGGAACGACAGAAATACTACGAACATAATTTCATCTTTATTCATAAAATCTAAATGCTGACGACATAAATAACAAATACGTGAAGGTTAAAAAGTGGAACGAGAGAAATACTACGTACATAATTTCGTTTACCTTAAACAATAACGGCTGGAAAATAGTAAGTATGAATAATTAATTTATAATTGTGAAATGTATTTGTCTTTGGATACGATATTCTGAAAATATATTTGTGTAAACTAATTATAATTTTCCGAAATCAATGTAATCGTATTCGAGTTGTTTAAATTATAGACAATTATAGTCAATTATAAATACAGTTGTCTACAATTTTGATATTTTATTTTTTAAAGTGATTACACACGACAGCCAAAAGGTATCCTCATTTTAACTTTAGATAAATGTTCAGTTTTTTTTCAGTTTAACAATTTATTGTAAAAATACTTCATTAAAGTAATAACGCTAAAGGTGCTATTTTAAGTAAAAAATATCGAAGTCGGTAGTAATATCACTGTGGCTTTTCACACATGCTGTAATTGATATACATGTATCAACCAACAAGTGTCTTTTTAAAGTCATTAACCAAAAAGTAATTGATTCAGTGACAACAACATTTTAGACTTTTGTGAGGTAAGTTGTTTTTGAGACTTTTGATACTTCTGCTAAATCTTGAAACTATGTGAATTTGGCCAAATTAGGACAAAATTCTTTAAAGGATAAAATTATCAAAAATATACCAAAACAATTATCTATTAAATGCATGAAAAGGAATCCTCTAATGCCATTAAACTATTATTATTTTCAGTTTGTTGAACCATGTCCGACAAGAAACAGTCAATGAAAAAACCATTTGAAGAAAACAAAAGTAGGGCTAGGAAGCAATTTGCCGCAACAGCCGTATTCATTGCTATATTTTGTGCTTTGGGGAATTCGCTACCATTAGACACGTCTCAACTAACGACACCAACAGATCGTCTGATATACACAATAAGATGGCTGTTCCTATCTTCACTGACAATCATGCTGGCTATGTTTGGAGTGTTGAGAGTACGGGGCAGTACAGACGCCATTGATCCATTAAATGGCTCTTCGGAAAACTTGGTAGAACTGCCAAACCGAATTTTACGAAATACAACAGAACAATTCATACTTCATACATCAGCGGTTTTGACCCTCTCGACCTTTATGGACGAAAACAGTATGAGAAATATTCCTCTTCTGGTCATAGTGTTTATTCTTGGAAGATTGCTGTATGCTATAGGATATACTTCTGCTCCTATGAACAGAGCTCTTGGATTTAGCTTGACATTTTGGCCTACGATTGCAACATATATGTACTGTACATATTGTGTGATAACCACATTCATATTTTAGATTAAACGTGAGATTTTGTATATTGAATGTATGTTCATGCATATCATAAATTTGTAAAAAATAATAAAATAAATGCAAATAAACTATTCATCAAATGATTAGAATTCACAAGTAGATAAACAATCTTTATGTTTAACCTAGTCAGTGGCAAAATTTAGTTTTAATTTTACCCTTTTAAGCTCAACTGGCCAAAAGGGCCCAGTGAGCTTTTCTCATCACTTGGCGTTCGTCGTCCGTTAACTTTTACAAAAATCTTCTCCTCTGAAACTACTGAGCCAAATAAAACCAAACTTGGCCTAATTCATCCTTAGGGTATCTACTTTTAAATATGTATCCGATGACTCTGAACATCAACCAACATGGCCGCCATTGCTAAAAATAGAACATGGGAGTAAAATGCAATTTTTGGTTTATATCTCTGAAACTTAAGCATTAAGAGCAAATCTGACATGGGTTAAAAATGTTAATAAGGTAAAGATCTATCTGCCCTGAAATTTTCAGACGCATCAGACAATCCGTTGTTGGGTTGCTGCCTCTGTATTGGTAATTTTAATGAAATTTTGCAGTTTTTTGTTATTATCTTAAATATTATAAAAGATAGAGATAAACTGTAAACAACAATATTGATCGGCAAAGTAAGATCTACAAATAAGTTAACATGGTCAAAATTGTCAATTGACTCCTTAAAGAGTTATGGCCCTTTAAAGTCAATTTTTCACCATTTTTCGTATAATTTTGTAATCTTTTACAAAATTCTTCTCTGAAACTACTAGGCCAAATTCTACCAAACTTAGCCTAAATCATTCTTTGGGTATCTAGTTTATAAATTGTATCCGAGGACCCCGCCCATTAACCAAGATGGCCGCTATGGCTAAAATAGAACATAGGGGGAAAATGCAGTTTTTGGCTTATAACTCTGAAACTAAAGCATTTAGAACAAATCTGAGGAGGGGTTAATATGTTCATCAGGTCAATATCTATCTGCCCTGAATTTCGGACGCAGGATCTGCTAACCCTTCCGGAGCAATTGAGATTACCCCCAGTTTTTGGTGGGGTTCGTGTTGCTTAGTCTTTAGTTTTCTATGTTGTTTCATTGTACTATCATTTGTCTGTATGTCTTTTTTTTTTAGCCATGGCGTTGTCAGTTTATTTTCAATCTATGAGTTTGCATGTCTCTCTGGTATCTTTCGCCCCTCTTTTAGACAACCCGTTGTTGGGTTGCTGCCCCCGAATTGGTAATTTTAATGAAATTTGACAGTTTTTGGTTATTATCTTGCATATTATTATAGATAGAATTAAACTGTAAACAGCAATAATGTTCAGCAAAGTAAGATATACCAATAAGTCAAACATGACCAAAATCGTCAATTGACCCCTGAAGGAGTTAAAGCCCTTTATAGTAATTTTTTAACAATTTTTTAACAATTTTTTGTAATCTTTTCCAAAAATCTTCTCATGTGAAACTACTGAGAGAAATTTAAGCAAACTTGGTAACAATCAACATTTGGGTATCTAGTTTTAAAAATATTTCCCATGACTCTGACTACCAATCAACATGGCCGACATGGCTAAAAAAGAACATAGTGGTAAAATGCCAGATTTGGCTATTACTTTTTTAACCGTTATAAATAGAGAAAATCTGAAAGGAGCAAAAATGTTCAGATTAATGATCTCTACCAATTGTCCGTACACGTCAAAACTGTTAGACAAATTCTTTTAGGAGTTATTGCCCATAAATGACAAAATTTTAATTTACTATTTTTTTTATATTTTTGCCTATTATCATGAAAACTATGATATTTAGAGAGAAAAATTTAACCCGTGATGCCTTATATGATTTAAATTATAATAGATAAATAAACACTTTAAATCACAAAAATTATCAGCAAGGCAAGATCTATTAAAAAGTCAAATTTTGCCGATATAGTTAGTAGACTGTCACTCTTCATAGGAGTGATTGCCCTTAAATGAGGATTTTGTTTACCCTATATGTGCTTTGAGCAAAAAACTAAAGAAGATAGAAAGAAAACAAACAGACTTAAAGATCAGTAATACAAGATCAACAAAATAGAGATTTTTGTCATGAAGTCTATTCTCATCTACAATGTTGGAAAGTGTCCTTTGTTTGATATGCACATAGACCAAGGTGAGCGACACAGGCTCTTTAGAGCCACTAGTTTGTTAATGTACCTATGTATACTTTTTGTATATCAACCCAAACGAATACAAAGAATCAAAAAGTTATGATGCTATTTCTTTTTCTAAACACACCGATTAAATGAGAACAACTGTCGAATGCTTTACAATATTGCGTTAACATAAAAACTATCACTGAACTAGTATATATATTTGTTTAGGGGCCAGCTGAAGGACGCCTCCGGGTGCGGGAATTTCTCGCTACATTGAAGACCTGTTGGTGACCTTCTGCTGTTGTCTGTTCTATGGTCGGGTTGTTGTCTCTTTGACACATTCCCCATTTCCATTCTCAATTTTATTATAATAAGGACGCTTGTTGTGCGAATGATTTTTGATTGTCCAATTGGTTTCTTCCGACCTCATTGCAGAATGTATGGACCCTTACAAATAATATGGCAAGGATACAATTAAATGGTGTTATTAGTTTTCCTTATTTTTTTTTATTCAAATTGAAGGAAACAAGTATATAATTCCAATCTAAATTAAAATGAAGATTCTGCGTCTCTGCGTTGGCAGAACCCAAGCATAAAAATGAGCGAGTGTGGAAATTAACTTTAAATTCAACATTGAAATTGTCACTGAACACCTTCATCCAAATCAGTACATATATGCTTTCAATAACAAACACTGAAACAATCATCAAATCCCTTTCGAAATAGCAAAATTGCCGCACTTGTTTAAACCAAGCGCGTGAAAAGTGTTGCATTTGTACAGTGTGCACGTGCATTCAAGATGCTTTTAATTTAAAATTGTTCGCCTAGGTTTAGAAATATGGTCATCTGTGCTATTAATTCCGGAAGAAAGACCTTTGTTGCGGTAGCTTCAACTTAGATGTGCGGGATATCGGATGCATTAATTATAACATATGCAGCAAGATAATGTCAACTTTAAATTTGAAGCCCCATTTTCGGAGATCATTAATATTTCAGCAAGGCAAATCGAAACACCAACTAAAAAATCCCGCTTCAACACTTAGAAGTCTAAATTGTCTGCTCTTCATCCTAATTTTGAAGACATTAAAAAGTTGAATCATTTCATTTGCTATGTTCAAATATTTTTCAAATATTGTAATATTTCGATTGAAAATTGAACAACTGATTATTCACAGAGTTGCTGTCCCCTAGAGGTTAAAAATCGAAACTATTTTCTTGAATGTAAGTATATAATAGTTTAAAATAATATTTTTCAAAATATAAAAAAATTAATTTGAAATGTTTTTCAATGCCACATATAATTGGTGGTGGCAGTAATAAAACAATATTGCACAATATTGAAAATTTTGGCATTGTAAGACATCCATAACCAATGTATGCAAACTTTGACAAACCCACGAAAAACAAATACCCATGAATACACGATTTTTCCTCAATGCATGAAAATAAATGAATAAACAATATACTGAATAAAAATGTTTTGCACACCACATTTATATTTAATTTGTTTGAAAGCAATTTTATATAGCGCAAACTACAAAATTAAAAAAAAAAAACATTACTGAAATTGTACTTTTTATCAACATTATTATCGCCAGTTTAAAACTCAAGTAACCGTTGACATTACAAAGAACAAATATCTATAAAACCACTTATCATAGCGGTGTCAAAATGTAGAACGTTAAATTTAATAGAAACTATTGATGTTTTTTTGTGTCCAATAAAGTTGTTTGTCTTAATACCATGCATATGCACGACAAGAAAAAAATCAAAGGTAGACGTGTGGTATACAATAAAGAGACAGCAACCAAACGATATAAATACAACATCTAGATGTCAGCATATTACCTTCTTTTACAGGGTTTCAGATACCACAATATTTTGAATACCTTATTAGGCTTCTTAATTTTTACAGCAGTTATCAGCATCTGATCCGTAAAAACAATATTTCTGATCATTCCATTTCTTATAATGTGGTTATAATTAATAGAACTATAATATAGAAAAACGGTATATCAAAACATGGGGCATTTTTAACATCGTTAAACTGCATTGGCTACTGGCGTAATATATATGTAATACTCAAATTGACGTCCGGACTCTAATCGACGTCCAGTGTGACGAACTACGTTCCAATATTTTTACCCTCTAATCGACGTCCAATAGAACTTTCTTGCATTTTGATGAAAGGTACGAACGAACGTAAAGGGAGCATGTATAACATTCCCACAATAACACTGATAGTCTATGGTTTATCTTGTAAAAATGGAAGTAGCTTCCGAATCAAAGGTATATTTTTAAAAATATATTAGCATAACGCAAATAGAAAGCGGATTTAATAACTGAAAATAAAGAAAAATAGTGTAAAATACACTTGCGTCCAATATGTTGCTTATGTTAACCATTTTTACACACATTTGCGCGGGAATTGTTCAGGCATGCTTTTTATATGTTTACACCATTGACATTTTAATGGACTTCTTGAAGTATGATTCTCTAAATTTAACAACAGAATTCTTTATATTTTTATTTATAAATGTTTAAGACTATGTCATCATCAAATTGTCAACGTGGATCAGCAAAATTTTTAAGACTATTTAAGATGCAACAATGTATGGAAATATGTAAATAAAAACAAATTGATTACAAGGCAACCACCGAAATCCTACAAAATTTCAATCCTTTTAACTATGATGAGTTTATTTACATGTAAATTTAAAAATAAGGAGAAAAGGTATGATTGCCAATAAGACAACTATCCACCAAAGTTCAAATAAAATGTAAGCAATTATAAGCAACCGTTCCGCATGCACGTTTTTATTTTTTTGGTGAAAGGTGTCCTCTCTATCTACGTTGTCGTATTCCTTTTATATTCATATAAATGTTCCTATACGACAAGGAGACAGCAACCCAACAACAATGAAAATCGATTTGATAGCAAGAAGAAAGACGTCGATTAGAGTGGCCCATCATGAATTGGACGTCGATTAGAGACCGGACGTCAATCGGAGTCTTACATCTTATGTATACTCACTAATTAGGTGCTTTCTTCCAAAGATAAATACTAATTGACCTCTCGCCTATGATGCTAATATCAACAAAATTTGTAATCAACCTCATGCAATCTGTCAAGTAGGAGTGTTGTTTTTTTAATTTTTTTTATTTCTCGAGCTAAGTATTCATCTAGCAGCTAGCTTTATATAATAGCACATTTGTTTTTATCTTTTTGGTGTTGGTAGCTGAGTTTTGCAGTTTTTAAATTTAAGTATTATTTTTTCAACATACGGTCTAGTTAAGTAAAGGAGAGGATTGTGTTCACGTAAAACTTGTCTAACCACACTTTATGTTGTGCCTGTTCGTCTTAATTTTCCTTCTCGGTTCGTGATGTGTTCTGAAGTATTTTTGGTGAATCCTGTTAATTGTTGGATGGATTATCAAACGATAAAAGGGTTATACAATATATGGAACATCCCTGATTTGTCTCAGTGTAACAAAAGATTATCAAAGATCTGCCATCAAAACGATATTCTCCAAATGAGAAAAAATACATTGAGATAGGACAATAGACAACCACTGACGAGATCCCTGATTTGGAACAGACACACACAAACAAATCTTTTCCTCTATAAATAAATTGTCGTTTGGTAAATCTGAATGCAAATATATATATGTTGCAACTCATTTAAAGCCTTCTTCTCTAATGAGAAAGGTAAATATGCTAGACATACTTATTGGAGGTTTGATGAGATTTTTCTCCTTGATAATATTGATGTACGTTTCGGCAATACAGTTCTTCGACAGTTGAAGATATTCCTATGGACACCAATTGCGCCCCTTTAATAGCATAATTTTTCTTGTACTGCTATGAATAAAAGTTTATGACCAAATTCAGTAAAGACCCGTCTAAATTTAATTTAATGGATATATTCGACAACAATTATCGTTTTCTTGATAATATGTTTGCGTTAAATAATCAAGAATTTTCTAAATATACTGACAAAATTTACCGAAAAGGGACTTACTTTAAGGATGTTCGCTACTTTGTTTCAAAATAACAAGCTTTTAAAAAGACTGTTATAAATTGATAGTATTAAATAATGAAACCATAAAAGTAGAAAAAAAAATAACGGTCCGTGTGCTTGTTTTCGAGATATAAGCCATTGAAAATTTGGCGGGAAATGCTTTTCTCTAGATTTTTCATCTCTAACATTGGCTCCTTTTTGCTGTCGAAAGGTATAAAAAAAATATCAGGGATTTAATAAGATTTTCAAAGATGACATTTTAAACTAAATATAATCTAATAATGAAAAGAACAGTAGGGGTTAGGGGGCGAAAATTCGAGGATTCCGAAATCTGGCAAAAATTCAAAAACAAGAGAAGCGAACATCCTTAAACAAATTAAACATAAATGGATATAACTGTTCTTTCCTAGATTTAGATATTTAAGTTTTACACGGGAAACTCGACATAAAAAGTTACGCCACAAGGGTTAATTTTTCGTTCCCTATTGATAATTTTCCTGTTTTGGACGATGATTTGGCACCAAATTGCGGTGTTTATATATCACAATTTATTCGTTATGCCCGTTTCTGTTGTGGCGTTCTGAATTTTAATGAACGTAATCTATGTATTACTGGTAAATTATCAAGTCCTGGATTTCGTTACCACAAGTAACTTAAAACCTTAAATAAATTCTTCCGTAGATATAAAGATTTAGTTTGGTTGTACCTGTAGAAAACTTATTTAAAACGGGGATAGCACATCCTAATTTTTACGGAGAGGTTGTTTACCGAGCCCGGAAATTTAGGTACAGTCATGGTAAAATTACCGATCCTTTAAATAAACTTATTCTAAAAGTTTACCAATTCAGCACTGTAATTAGATCTTTGAATATTGTTTTTAATTGTATTAATATTGATTTTGTTATCAGGATATTAATATCAAACTAAATATAATTTTATATACATATGCACATTCATGGCTCTACAATCTGCCAATACCTGTATCTTGGTATTGCATAAGGTTTTTCTCTGACTGTTAAAGACGTCTTTACACTAAATGCATTAGATGTTGGATGTCAAATCTACTTAAAACAGTTGAAAATTGAAAATAAAGTAAAAGAATTTCAATGGAGATCCATGTACAAAATTTTATATACTGAAGAAAGATTAAAAAAAATGAAGATATCAAATGGAAAATGCCACATTTGTCAAAATGACAACATAGAAACCCTGCAACACTTATTTTTCAGTTGTAGTACATCTCAGTTATAATAATTTTAAACAAGCTCCAAGGAAAACTTATCAAATAAAACATAGGAATAAATAATTGAAAAGGAGATGCTGTTAGTTAAAAACACAGGAATACTCAAATATGATAATTTTCTAAACACAATTATCATATATTCTAAATGGACTCTTTGGACAATTAGGAATTCAATAAAATATAACAAAACACCCAAAGCACCTCAAGATATTTATACTATCTGGAAATATAACTTGAAAAAATAATCTAAACTTTGTTCTTCAATTGAAAGGCATTGACGTCATCGATAAGACAAAATTGAAGTCGGTGATAATGACAATTTAGACAATAAATATAGTATTAACTTGAGACAAAGTTTTTTTTAATGGTTTATTGTATAAGAATATCGATTTTATTAATATGTACATACATACAAAAATGAAAAAGAAGTGTTAGTCTATCATGTGCAGTAAATGTAGCAAAAATGTCCTTTTTTTGTGTGGGTATCTTATTAATTACTTACTATGTTGAAATTAAGGTAAACAACTGTTCAATGCTTCTAACATTATGTGGATATATTTTTGAAACTAATTGTAAATTCAAGGTATAAAGTGTACTACATTTTTAGCCTTCTATTACCCCTGGAAAGATGGTTCATTTTGTAAACAGGGACCTTTAGCCTGTTACCTGGACGACTAGGGTAATTATATACAGGAAATATTTAGGAATAAAACGTTTATATGTGTTAAAAAATCTACTTGGAATTTAACAATATGTTATGCATTGGACTGTAGAAGTTTATGCTAACCTTTTTTACTACGAGCATAACATTACCTTATTACTAAAAAAAAAGAAATAAATTATTCGTTCTGCAAACAACGTGCCTATATAATATTTAACATATACATATATTCAAAGGTCAAAATGTGGAATTAACTAAAGGTCAAAATGTGGAATGAAGATATATAATTTTATATTATCATTTAACTTTGAAAGAGAGCGTATGACATAAATGTGAGTTTAAAATTATTTATTTAATACTACTCTTTTAAGTTTATATGGTTAAAAGTATCTTAGATTAATTGACTCAATTTAAGTAAGTTTTATTTTATTTTTAAAACTTTCACCTAATTTACAAATTAAAATAAATTTTAAATGAACGTAAAAAACGATTAAGCAATTTGGAGTATTTGCTAGATCTTCATTTGGGTTTCATCTATTACTAGGTAATCACAAGAATCAACCCTTTTACGAAAAGAGTCGACACTATATTGATAATAATGTTATCATAATATGATCTATAAAGCATTTAGACACGATAGCTGACGTTTCAAATAAAGGCAACAGTAGTATACCGCTGATTAAAAGTCATAAATCGATTGAGAGAAAACAAATCCGGGTGACAAACTTAAACCGAGGGAAACGCATCAACTATAAGAGGAAAACAACTAAACAACAGAAACACTGAAGTGCAACAAAAAAACATACGACAATGCAACATACATAGAAACGAACTATTAGATAACAACTGCCATTTTCCTGACTTGGTAAAGGACATTTTAACCTGGTTTTGTGGCTACCCAAACCTCGTACTTTTATGGCAATATTAAATATACCGCTAATTGACAACATTACATGACAGTACAAATAAATGCAAGAACATTCAGGACAGAGAAATACATAAATAAATAATATGGTAGTGCATTTCGACATGTTAACCACAGAATAACAACGAGTACGTAAAATAATTTAGGACAGTACACAAAAACAGCATAATAGAATTACGAACTGTCCGTCACACGAATGAACAATACAAATATAATCACAATAGTCCTATTTCTGGATGAAAGCTAATTTTGAAATTTTACTGTTAAAGAGATGATGAGGCATATACATGTTTACAAATGTATGTTTAATCTATATATACGACCAAAAATTGTCATTGTACATAACGTTTTTTTTTTCAAGGCAAATATGACAAGCACAAATACACAAAGAAATATTTGAATGACTTAAATGTTTTTTTGGGCATTTCCTTCTTCCCTTTTAACCTTTTTTCGGGGGGAAAGGGGTATATTTTGACAATCCCAACACTTCCACTAATTTGTATTGTTCATGAGTCAATCAGCGTTCAAACTATTTTTAGTACGTACTAAAGACATGATAATAGCAGGATATTATATATATATGTTAATATATATATATTTTCAGCCTGTGAAACCATGTCCGACAAAAGAAAATTGACCAAAAAACCATTTGAAGAAAATAAAAGTTTGGCAAAGAAGCAGATTGTTGCTACTATCGTATTCAATATTCTGTTTTTTGCTGTGGGAAAAACACTACCAATAGACACGTCGCAACTAACGACACCAACAGATCGTCTGACATACACTATAAGATGGCTGTTCCTATCATCACTTACAATCATGTTTGCTATGTTCGGAGTGTTAAGAGTTCGTGGGAATACAGACGCCATTGACCCATTAAATGGTTCTGCAGAAAACTTGGTAGAACTTCCAAACCGAATTCTACGAAATACAATTGAACAATTCTTACTTCATGCATTCGCTGTATTGACCTTTTCGACATTCCTGGACGAAAGCAGTATGAATAATGTTCCTCTAATGGTCGTGTTGTTTATTATTGGACGACTTTTCTATGCTGTAGGATATAGTTCTGCAGCTATGCACAGATCTTTTGGATTTAGTATGACATTTGGACCTACGTTTATAACGTATATTAGATGTACGTATTATGTTATATCAACGCTAATATTTTAGAACAAACGTAAAAGTTTCTACATAAAACCAGAGTTATGAATTGCTGTAGAATGATTCAACATTTTTTTTACCACAGTATGTCAATGTGTTAGTGTATCAATTAAATTGGTTATACTCTGAATAGTTTTTACAATGTTTTTGCTGTATATTGCGAGTGTAATTGGTGAATCAGGAACTGCTGACCCTTCCGGAGCACATGCTTTTTGCTTTGGAATGTTATTTGATTTTGTTTTATTTTTGAATGGGTTGGGGGGGGGGGGGGGGGGGGGGAGGGGTCGTAGTGCTCAATCTTTATAATAAGTTTTCTTAATGGTGTTTTATGAATTGTTGTTGGTCTTGTCGCGTTTTTGTCTCGCCTTGACAGTGAGACATAGGTATGCTGTTTCCGGCGACGTCGTCAACAATGTATTAGTTTGTGATTAGGTCTAGTTTAAGGTGAACCACTAGGTAGGTCGATGATATTAGGTATGCAGTTGTATTAGCATTAGCATATCTCATTTCCACGCAGATTATTTGGTCCTGCTCCCTCAGTCATGGTCTATTGACTTTGAAACTTTTGCTTAGTTTACATACATGTATTTGTTTGTGATTAGGGCAGTTTATGGGGAACCACTAGTGGTATAGGTAAATGATATTTAGTATGCAGTTGTATAAGCATTGGCATATCTTATTTCCATGGATATTTGGCTCCGCCCCTATGTCATGGTCTATTAACTTTGAAACTTTTGCTTAGTTTATATGTATTTGTTTGTGCTTAGGTCAGTTCAATGGGAACCATTAGTGATAGGCCAATGTTAATTGGTATTCAGTTGTATTAGCATTAGTACATCTCATATCCATGGATAATATTTGGCCCCGCCCCCTCAATCATGGTCTATTGACTTTGAAACTTTTGCTTAGTTTACATGTATTAGTTTGTGCTTAGGTCAGTCCAAGGAGAACCATTAGTGATAGGCTAATGTTAATTGGTATGCAGTTGTATTAGCATTAGTACATCTCATTTCCATGGAGAATATTTGGCCCTGCCCACTCAGTCATAGTCTATTAACTTTGAAACTTTTGCTTAGTTTATATGTATTTGTTTGTGATTAGATCAGTTTAAGATGAACCGATAATCTTAAGTCAATGATATTTGGTATGCAAATGCATTAGCCTTTGCAAGTCTTGTTTCCATGGAGATTATACAGCCCCACCTCCTCAATCATGGTTCATTGACTTTGAAACTTTTACATAGTTTACATGTTAATTTTGTGTTTAGGTTTGCTTAAACAGAACAACTTATGATAAGTCAATGGTATTTGGTATGCAGTTGTATTAGCATTGGCACATCTAATTTCCATAGAGAATATTTAGCTATGCACCTCCAGTCATGGTTCATTGACTTTGAATATTTGCATAACTTACATGCTCAAGGATTGCTATTTTAATTTCAACATTTGCATTATCAAAATTACAAAAAGGCGAGACATATCTCTGTGAGTTTATTTCTTTTGCAATGGTGTTGTTTGTTTTTATTCTACTTTTAAGTTTTTATTGCCCGTTGGGTATTCTATTAGCAAGTGAAATTTATTGTGAATAAAGTGCACTTTCTAACTTTCTAGTCCTCCGTGTTTAATGCTTGGAAACACAATTCATGAGTGGAAGATGATTTCAGGTAATGCTTAAACCCACATTGGTTCCTGATCGAGTAGTCCTAAAATGAAAATAGACTAACAGAAAATTGTTGTCGTATGATAACTATAAGGATTATATTCGATATAAGCAGTTAGAATGCACAAGGTTATATCTATACTAGACATTGGTAGCCTCATGCGGAATGATCGAATCAATAAGTTCACGGTTTATTGTTTATCAGAATGATACAATAACTTAAACAAAGAGTTGCGCGCAATGTAGGGCAAATTATACACTACTCGTTATTAAACACTGAAGAAAATATCGATGCACAATGGGTATATAAAAGTTAAAAGTTTCATCAATTCAGGAATTGACTGCCCGCGGATTTGTAAATCGCTCTCACAGACCAAGTTAACAAGACAAGTATATATGACAAAATATTAAATCCTGCCTCAATACAGAAGCTAAGCTATATGTAATGCACAATTTATTTATCGTGTATAATGAAATATCAAAAGAAAATGAAAGGATATGGAGTAAATGTACATGGGACAAAATCGCACACAATACATAGAAAATTATCAATGAACAGGGCTTTTATTCCTGTCAAAGTATTGTCAAACAGAAAATTCTGCCCGGCAGATCAGAAAATCGCTTAACCGGTATTACTCAACATTATAAAGTTCCAGAGCAAATGTTTAATCATTCATTCCTTAATAAAGAAGATGAGAAATATGACAAACGGATGGTCGAGATGATTGCACTATAGCATCCACTAAATTTTCAAAACTCCAAGCCTGCACACAAGTCAAAAGGTCAATATTTGACATCATTTTGTCATTTCAATAGATTTCGGTGATTTATAATTGTAGTATTATCCATGGAAAATGTATACGTTCGAGAAACTTTTCTACACGAGAAATCGGATTTAACGTCCCTATTCCTGCTGAACGTGGCAGCGTATTTATATATCTCGATCAGTCAAAATGATACATTTTGTGGTGGAGTTGTGCCGCTCAAACTATCAAAGGGAAATAATTATATAACTGATTCTTTCACCTTTAAGACATGGTAAACAGAGTTACAATGCATCTATTAAACTATTAATATTGTTCATAATCTACGTATCTCACGGTAAGATTTGCTGTAAACAAATTATTATTGTGTGCGTCATTGGTTAGAAAAACGAGTCTCATAAAATCAAACACGTTAGAACATCTTCCAAACAATTATGTGAGACTGGTTTCCCGACATTTTATCTGATATAACAGTAGTGAGGGTGGTCCTCCTACAAGACGGGATGTGTAAATACGCAGCCACGTCCAGTCAGAATGCGTTCGTTCAATTTCCAATGTCTCGTGTAGGGATATTTGGATTTATTATTCTAATCTCATCCTGAATAAACATGAAATATTTGCCACTGAACATTTTAGCATGATTGATTGATTATTTGATGTTCATTGCTTAATTGCAAATATTATATATATATCCGTAACGACTATTTGCTAATGAGATATTAAGATATCTTTTTTCCTATTATCGACCGACATATTGGGTAGGATGTTCAACAATGTTGCTCACAATGAAATTAGAGTCTTCACAATATCGTGATTACAAGCCGATCACCATTTTTGCTTAGAAGGGATACAGGTAATTACAATATTTAAGTGTTTAAGTCAGGGATGAGCCAACAATCTACCGAAGTATAGTGCGATCACGCTATCACTACAACCTCAAAGAGGTTTCTGGATGTTAAGGATACAACAATGAAAGAAGCAATTTATCCAATCGAATATATTTTTATACCCTGTTATAACAAAACATATTACTTGACAATATTTCACTCATTATAAATATAAACTACATGGTTGGTCAACCGAATGGGCTTTGAAGACTCACTTCAGATATTTGAGCAAATCCATCTATGCTATAAAGTAGATCTAAGTATAACATCTACAGCGAGTCCTGAATGTGGTCAGAGCAACTGCAAAGGTAACGGTTTTATGTAAAGGTTTAATTAGTACTCTATTGCAATGTACGAGCTCTTATTACCAACAACATTATACGTGTTTGTCTTTCCTTGTATCAAAATCCAAAATTAAATTTAAAATGATTTGTTCATTCAGACTGATACCATGAATGCGGTCAGATCAACTGCAAAGGCAACTTTTGATATGTTAAGGTTAGTACGCTACTGCAATGTATCGGCTCTTATTACCAACACCACTATACGTGTTTGTCTTTCATTATATCAAATTTCAAAATTAAATTTTAAATGATTTGTTCAGTCAGACTGATACCATGACTTCGTGCAGACATGCACAATTAGGATTCATTGATTCTTTAATGTTTGCTAAACGTCTAATGGCGAATATTTGATGTTTTTTCAGGGCGAGAACACATTTTTTAAGGTTTGTAAAGTTGTTGACCGAGATGTTGGGCAAGAAAGTAAGACTGTCACTCCCATATTAGGTCAGAACTCTGCATTGCAATAAGTCACCTACGGAGCCTATACAGAGCGGTCTATTAAGTGAAGGGAGCGTGGAACTTTCTAAACACGAGACATTGGATACAAGTATAACGTCCAATTTCTTTATACATCCCGCACAGTCAATAATGTCTTACTGTCGCACGGGAGAACCTAACCATAACCAACCCTGTCAACTCTTGAGATCACATTACAATCAGTAATGCCCAAGTAAACCAAGATACGATTCTTTCTTGTGTACTAGTTCGTTGTGTCCTTAATCAAAAAGCAGAAATTTAGGTCAAATCATTTACGTGTTGTCCAATATTAAATAGAAATAGCCACTGCTAGTTGTTCGATGATCAACAATATGTTAACTGTAATTGTACCAAGGTATTACCGACGCAACAAATGTGACGGTGTAAAGAACTTTTCAATCCACCTATAGACTAGTCACCTACCAAAAAGACCGGAATAAATAAAGACTCATTTGGAGGAACTAGCTCAAAGACTGCATGGTGGTGTGGTAACAAATAGTGACTTTCAGTACGGGATTCCTTTTACTAAAAAAAAATTTGGGTTGATGTCAGTTTGAAAGGCCGACTCATATATAAACTCCAGTAAACCAACTATAAAGATAGATTATGTTTTCCAAATATTGTTAACAGATTGACAATGGATTAAACTTTGAATAAATAAAATTAGCACTTAAAATAAGTATCAGACGATAATTGAAAACGGATTATAATGTCACTTCAAGTAAGAGATAGGATGGATTGGAAAGGAATCTGTGCACTGTAAAACATGTCTTTTTATAAATTTTGGATTGAATGTAAAAATAGACGAGTTAATTTTGAACGTTTAAACAACGGAACTTAAAATTATGGACGCATTATATTTGCGCGAATGTGGGGATTACATTATTTTACATTTGCACGCATTCATTTCAGAGGTTACACAAAAAAATATATTATAATTCATAATTAATTTGTCATCGTTTGTCGTCGTTTCGGCATCGCAGTCGGTTTAAACAACAG